TTTTGTACATTGCAGGACTTTTTAGAAAATGTAATTACTTAACCGGAAACCAAGAACCACCAATTATGCTGTTTATGTGAATATTTTCATTAGTTACAAGCTAGAATAATCAGTGCATAGTTTGCATTTTGCAAAGCAGATAATTTCTAAGTCAGATCTCAGAATAAGGAAATTGATTCAAATCACTTAGATGATAATATATTTTCAGTGTGAGATACAGATCATCCAAACAACGATAAAATCCAAACAAAAAGAATTATCCTAATAAAAACCTGAAAGATACATCCATATTATAAGAAGAAATCATATTCTGGATCAGAAGTAAAGTATATACTTATTCTTGTCAAGGAATAGGTACATAACTTTTGAAGATTTTGTGTATTGTTTACCATTGTTAATGCAATGTTGCTGCCACTAACAGGGCTTTTTTCACAAAATAAAGAAAAAAAACTAAGAAAGGGCAATTTGTTTTCTCATTCTTTAAAAGGAGGGAAAATCATCTTTTTCCATGGCTTAGGGATTTTCAACTGCTATAGTTAGATGAGATGGATACCACCTAAAAAGTGAGTTTGGCTTTTTTCAAAATGTGTGAATTTCCTTCTTTTTTTTTTCTTTTTTATTTTCAACTTTAATTCTAAATCAGAATACAAGCCATTCCATATTCCACTATCATAGCAGAATAGGTATGTAAGGTGTGAAGCACTGAGGTTATCACAACAAGCGTACACAACATCAGTATTGAAAATAATGTGCCTATATAATTATACCCATAGTTTAATAGTCTGTAATAGCAACAATGGTTTCCCTATAGGAGACAGCAAGGCTGCCAAAGTGCATTGTATAGAAAAATAAAGGGGATCCTGGAGTAAATGATCTTCTGCGGTTGCCCAGAGAGAAGGAGAGGTGAAGAAGGCAGGCTGCTGCCACATCCCACCAGTGTCGTAGCTGGCTCACCCTGCCTGCCTTAAGTCATCCAGGAGCTTCTACTTAATTTACAGTATTGCAGTTGCTTATACATATGGCCCTGTTCTTCCAATAAACTCTTGTGAGTATGTTCTACCTTCTGCTCCAGTTCCTATGCATAATACTAGAAAGAGAGCTTTTTATGACTTTATAAAGTCAAGAAAACTGTTTCTATCCTTTCTCATATTGTCTGGAAACATCCTATCTTTTCTTCTCCAATAAGATTTATGTTATTTTTCCTTTTTTACTAAGAAAGCAACACACTCCCGTCTTAAAAATCACCAGGAACTTCAAGTTACTCTGAATGTCAGTGTACTTTCAACATACTTACAGGATACATTCCTCATATGTAGTTATGTGTGTATGTCACCTCGGTATTAGGTCTGCCATTCTAATTTAGCTAGATATATGGTGCCCATGACTTTAAAATTGGAGATTCAAGCTTCTGTGTATTTGAAACAAAGAACAGATCTATTATTTGCATAAAGTAGCATAAGATGTCTGTGAGAGAAAGGTTTAGCATTTCTCCTACCCCACAAATTCAGCAAAGGATCATTTTCAGGAGGTCTTAATAGCTTTTTCTTTTGATTTCATCTACAGAACACCTAAATTATCATTTGCAAAAAAGACTGTTTACAATAAATAACTTCAAGACATTTGTGCAAATGACTGCCTGGGCCCAAACTTAATTTCCAATCTGAAGAAAAGTTTTCAGTAAAAACTGTTCAGAGATAGGCTATCCACTTAAATAACGCTACTTTCCAAAATCATTTTTATCTTGTTCATTCCAATTGGAGTTTTGGAGAGCCAAAGGAAGAAGAAAATTTTAGGTAACTGGAGAGTATCCCTATGACTGTGTAACTCTACTCTCTGGATATGCTGCCTGTTTCTCCTTGCCTCTGCTAGGTAGAAGGAAGGACAAGAATTCTGCTTTAATCCAGTTCTACCCTCTGCTTAACACACTGAATCCTGTTACATCAGCAACAAGACACCTATGATTTCTTAACAAAATAATTAACCATTTGATTTCTTACTAGGCAGTGATAATAATGCACAAAAGAGGATCTTCAGTTTCTATAGAATACTACAAATGTATACATACACAACATCTGGCTCATGGATTTCTTGCAGCAGAGGTGATGTTTTTTTTCTGTTTCTAGAGGAAAGACAGTATATTCCAGGAAAGAAATGTAGAAAGTCCAAATTCCAATCTTACTTAAACACATACATGGAAACATAGCACACAGAAAATGGAAAAAAATAAGTGACTGTGTTTTCTAATGATGTGTGATGGTGGGACACCCACCATTACCACACAAGGTAATGCTAATGAATACAGAGAGTTATTTTTCATAAATCCCATTTTGATAAAGACATTACAAGTTGATAAACACATTACAACTTTCCACATGTTCTGGAAAGTCTGAGGCAAACTGGTAATTCTTACTCCTATTTTTCAAATTCTTTTATTCTAACTGAATATTATGTTTGTCAGAGAAATTTCAAATGTCTTAGAAATAATTTTTTCACTCCTTGTGGAGCTGGATTTTATTGATCGAATTTGTTCTTAGCAATGGTTTACACAAGCATCATCATTTATTGATGCTGCCTGGACACATGTCGGAGTCTGTACTTCAGAAAGATACATCATTCCTTTGTTTCAATTAATTATGTTTTCATTAATACAGTAAAGCAATCAACTATTAATTTAGTTTTCTACTTTTAATTTGACATTTACAACATTTATTTCTCAGTTCCTGAACTAAAGTTTAATTCCTTTTTCAAAACAAAAACCCAGTCCCTTCCACCCCCCATTTATTCTGCATATTCCTCAATGTGTGTCCAGGGCAATTCAAACTGTTTTTCAGCTCACAGAGAAAGCATAAGACAGGCACCTAAAGCGTGAATCTCTTCCTATAAAGCATTGATAAAAAGTCTTATCAAGACATCAATACAGAGGTAGTATAAAATTAGTAGTACCATAGGTAAATCTGTTTGTTCTGTTTAGTCACATAATATTATAAAGATGGTATGAATTCCTACAGTACTACCCAAGCAGTTTACTAATCGGGAGGGTGTCCTTACATCTGCCAGGCTTTGCAGAGGTGGAAACTGAGTAACTCCCTCTGTATGCATTCATTCATTTTTAGCACATCAAAATCAGCCAAGTCTCTTTCTGTCTCTGTCTAGTTAAACATTAAATACTGAACTCCTACCTACACCACAAGTGATGAATTACATTTTTTAAACTATTACTACAAATAGTAACATGCATCTGGTTCCAATGCTTTTTTCTTTCTCCTCTCTGTCAGTCTGAGTCTGTTTGAAATACTGCTGCGCAGTGGAGCACCAACCATAGGGACAGAAGGGATCACCTGAGGACTGAGGGAATATGTACTTTTTGAATCCATACATCATATATTGCAAAAGATAATTGACAACCTCCTTCTGGTATAAATCAAATTCTTGAAGACTCTGTCTCTGCTTTCTTCGCGTGAGAGTCAATCAAACAGAGTACATGGATGTTTACTGTGAGGTTAATCACTAGACAGTAATTGCCTGTCTGTACTGACCAAATAAATCAATTCCATAAAAAAAAAAATTATGAAGAGGTCCTGGATATTGAGCTTAAATAAATATGATTGATTACTTGAATTCTCTCAAAACAACATAAACAATATGATTTCCAGACTAATCTACTGGAAGCAAATTACAAACCATAATTCACTATAATTTCTGATAACGTGGAGAGCAAATGGGATACATCAAAATAGAAAACAAACTTTTCACCATAAAAGGAAACTGTTACAATTCCACCTAATGCCCAACGTAAGTGTTGTTACTAATTGTTGATGTGCAATATATTTATATATTAGATACTAAAAAGGAACAAGACAAGGCCACAGAACTCTTTCTCTAAGATTTGTTTCTTGTTTTATTTGGTACTGTGAAGGTACAAGAACTTACATATGCAAACATCTTTGTCAGCCATATGAATCTAGTTCACCTCCAGTTACCAGGAAAATCCTGTTTCTGCCTTCTTTTGGGGAATATACTGTGGAACTACACTGCAATACACAGATCATGATGTACTCCTGTCTTCCAATGTCATCCTATAATTCTAGAGGCTAATTTTCTACCTTAGGTGTATGTTCAGCTATATTCTTTGCATGTTTGTAAAGCAGAAGTTAGAGGTCTGGTGAGGAACTGAAAATCTAATGGACCATTCTTCATACTGTTCTGCTGCTGTGGACATTACTATTATGGCATATATTTTGTTTTCGTCTGTGGTGGATTTTACATATTAATATGGTAGTTTTAAATGCAGACTATATTAAATGCATCTTCTTCAATTGCTGTTTGCTAAATTATAGAGTTTATTTATGTTACATAATTAATCTGTGGAACTTGATACTTCAAAATATTTTTGAAGCCAACAATAAATGGATTAAAAAATAATCAGACTAATGGAAAACAGGTTAATTGGTAACCACGGCACATGACGATTGAGATCAGGAAGTTCTTGAACTATAAACTACAGAAAGCTGGGAGAGAATACCAGAGGAAGAATGTTACCGTGCTTCAGCCATGTGCTGTTCGAACACTACCCCTTACATACTATCACCCAGTTGCAATGGTCTCACTGGGCTAGAGCTACTGCTATTGGGTTGTAGCTACAGCTGTTATGTCGCAAGGCATCTAACCACATGAAGTATGATAGACTTAATGATCTTATTTTCTGTTAGAGGTAGCGCTTGCTGAAGCTACCTGTTCCTTGTCCACATTTTCCATTCAAAAACAAGACTTACCCACAAGCTTTTGCAGTAGACCAAAACTCAGACTTGTTCAAAATGTTACACATACTACTGTGCAGTATTCAGGACAGCTTTGATGTATCAACCATTCATATCTAGGCACACAACAAAGTTTTGTGCAAAAGCGGTTTATGTAGGTGTAATGACTCAAATACGCACAAATCAAATCACAATATTCAATGTTTTTTCTAAATATTAGAGATAGCAAGAGCCTGTAATTACCTGTAACTGTTAATTCCGTAGTTCTTCTGACAACAAAGAATCCATATTTTAACTCACAAGTGTAATTTCCAATGTCATCCTCTCTAACTTCCCGAATGACAAGAGTGTCCTTTTTAAACACAATACTTGATCTCCACGTCTTTGACTTGCATTCCTGTTTAAAGATAATATAACACTTCAGTGACTATGTTCTTACACTTAAATTGGACCACTGTTGACAATGCTTCTCAAAGCCAAGAAGGCTAGGCAAGAGCTCAGGCTAGTTATGAGCTTTACATACACTAAATATCTAAAAATCCAGTTCAGTTAAGTGTTGATTAAAAAGAAAAAAGACTATAGAATTTTATCAGCTGACTTAATATTTGCCCTCTGACAAGAAAAAGAAGAGGAGTTGATTCCTTTGGTGGTTTTCTTTTGACATTAGTTTGCTGAGGGGCTCCTAATTCATTTACTTATTTGCCATTACACTTATATCTGTGATCCATGACTGTTATATTACCAGTAGCTACTGGTTGCAGGGCAGATTTTTTTTTATTTACTTATTTTTTAAGAAAATTATAATTTAAAAAAGTAGAGAAACAGAAGATGAGAATGAGGAGAAATGAGGTTAAGTTATATATTGTTTTCCAAAAACATCTTAGAATCAAAGCTCTCTGAACTCTTAGCAAAAAGGTGAGTTTTGTAGATACAAAAATTAGTATTTCAATCTTTACTAACTAAACATTACTTTTTATGCTATAATAGAGAATGTACATTTTTGCATGCATGTTTCTTAGCTCCCTAAAATGATTAACTTATTTTCACTTAATTAACCTAGGTACTATTTGAAATAGCTTTGAATATTTTTAGCGCTTCTAGGTTTTCTAATTTTTTTGATTGCAAACCAGTATATTTATAAGCTATTAGAAGAAGGGATTGGTACTTTTCATAAGAAAAATGTCTTTTGGTGAACTGTCACAAAATATTTTACTTGATTATCTTAGCATAATCATTGTTTATACAGTAAGAGCTTTTTTAAAACTTTAAAGTATAAGAGGTTGTTTGAGCCCATTCACACAAATACTGTCAATGACTCTTAAAAAACCAGTCTTCTGAGCTCTTGTTTAAGAAGCCAGCCATAGTTTTAAATTTGATAAAATTTCAGGTATATATCGTATTACAAACACAAAATCCAAGATGAGTATAAGCAAATAATTGGTTACACACCTCCCATCTTAGACATACATAGGCAGTTAATTCTGCCAGAATCCTTCTAGGCCAGAAGTTTTTACTTATTAGATAGCATAGTCTTGTGTATCATATTTAAATGCATTTGTATAATCAAGCAAATTATCAGACTTTGCATACCAGCACATAGTTTAATAGGACTTCCTATATACATAGACTTGTGTAGACATCTGTGTAGACAAAATACACAGAATCTAAATTTCAAATTTACTGAACTGTTTGGGGACTTTAAATTGTGTGCATTACACTGCTGAGGTACTGAGTAGTTCCTGCAGATAGTAAGAAACCCAGAATTCAATCTGCTCTTTATGGAAGCTCTAGTGAGTTGCCCACAGCCAGCACTATTTGCAGGAACCTGGCCCTTAAGTAATGATCTAGAAATCAGTACACAATATTGAAATAAAGTTATTGATAAAAACAATGAAATCACTGATATTTGCAAGCAAAAGCTAATATGAAAGGCCAAAGTTTTGGAAGTCTTTGCTGAATTTTATGCTGCAAAATTAAGCCATTCATTCAGATAACAGCACGCATAGCTATCCTATTTATATTTTCCAAATAGATTTTGTGTCTGAGTTTTTAGAAACACACTCTTTAGCCTGGTATAGCACAAGCAGTTGCTGTATAAGCAGCTCACATGGCTTTACCTTAGCATATCAATCCAGCCCAGACTGGTAACACTTTTTTTTTTAGCTCTCTTGTTAGCAGACAGCTGCCAATTCTTTGTAACTTCCATAAATGGATATTAAGAAAACACCAGCTCTAAAGTTTACTAAAGGAAGCATTTGAATCTCTCTCTCTCTCACTTAGTTCGTTCTTTTCTGTCCTCGACTCTGTTGTCTGTTCTTAACAAATCTTAAAACAATCTAAGCTTCATATCATATTTAGATCATGAAAATCACCAGAACATTGCATAATATCTTGTTGAAGGTTAAAATCGTTTGCATTCCTTACCTTATACCACAGAATTTCAGGCTCCCTAAATGGAAATAAAAAATCCTCAATTTCAGGGCATGAGATTTCCTTGCTTTTGCTAAGTTCAGCTTTTTCAAAATATTTCATCTTTGAATTGTAGCAGAGTCCAGTGTCATTTTCACCCACCGTCAGCGAAATGGACACTTTCATACAGTATGTTGAGTTTCTGCAATGCAATAAAAATAGAAATAAAAGTCTAATATGAAAAAAAAAGTCAATGTATATGACATAGGTTTTAAGTCATTATTTTCATCTCAAGCATAAGATAGAAATTCAGACATTGTATTTTGTTTGTATTTTATAGCTCTTCATGACAATTTTACTTTTCTCAGCCATTAACTACAATATTTAGAAGGTGTTGGCTTTACTCTGTGACTAAAGGGTTACCTCTCCCTTTTGTCAAACTCCTTCTAACGTTACTGTCCTTACTGTATATTTGAGGACAATTTCTCCAAAAGCAAATACACAATAAAAGCTCTGTGCATTTACCAGTGAAACTAGACAACCAGCTTGCTGACGGACACCATTACGACAGCTCTCAGGGGTGAACAGATCATGTTGCAGTACCACAGGCAAATGCCAAATTGGAACTTGGACACCACACCGAGCGCCACCTACACATCACATCTGAGCATGCTTTGATGTAGAAGTGGTAACCTTTTTGCAGCCTTTAATTAAAATGAATCTTGTGACCCTTCCAATTATAGAATAAAGGATGTTTTAGCCTAACGGACTGATAACTTGTTTACCTTAGCCTTCAATATCCATACTCCCAGGCCAAAATACTGCTTCTGCATTACCTACAGTCTTTATTAGTTTGGGCTCTCTCCTGAAACTTGTTACTTCCTGTGCTGCTGGATGTTGATAAGCCAGGCAGACAGAGACTAGGGAACATTGCCTTCCTTCCCACATTTCACTGTGCACTTTAATTAGGCTCAAAGACAAGATTACTTGAAATGATTTATTATTTTTTTTCATTTGAGTTTCCGGGCTGGCAGCAAATGAGTGTGTAAAGTTGAGTACTCCCCAGGAACACGCTGTGACAATGCAAGGCTTCTCTCCTACTGTTTTGTAAATGCATTTGACCTCTGATCTGCTGAAAGAGGATCCTGCAGAGAGCACATTCATTTTCTTATTTCCATTCTCAGACTCTATGAGCTGATTGCTGATTTACCACATTCTTGTGTTTATCGGACATGGCAAAATCTCAAAGTTGGCTATATTTTCTCCTTCTCTTTAGATTTCTTAATATCTGTTTCCTTAAGAACAAAGAATAAGAGGAACTTCATTCAGAGAATTCTATAGTCCAATGTTCTAGAGAAAAATCTAAATCTAAAAAGAAAGATATTAGAAATTGGAGAATATTCTTAGAAATGTAAATTCTGGAATGGAATGGCCCTTAGCTATCCAGCTAATTCATGGACTTGTAAGGAAAACAAACACAAAATTACTTCCTTATAATGAAGCTATAAGTATCATTTATTACCCCATTCAAGAATCTGGCTGTATAAAGCAAATAAAGTTGTTTAAACTTTATGCAAAGCAGAGAATGCATCCACTGGATATGGATCACTCTTGCTGCTTTTGAGCTGTTTAAGAGCTGTGGCTTGAGAACATCATAAAAAGTTACCTAAGTCAGTTTTTCCAAATCGGTAATATTCTCTTCCTCTGTTCTTGAGATACATATCCCTTGGAAATAGGGAGAAGGTCTAAACAATCCATCCAGCTCTGGGGGTCAAGAGTATATTAACTAGATGAGAAGACTCCACTATTGGATGATAGGGAGCAATACATAGTGAGGTACTAGCTATTTAATTTGCACATTTAAATATTCTCTTTTATTCCTTTCCATGTGTTTGAGCATTATGTTGTGTTCATATTACTGAATCTCATGATTTTAAAATTTCTCGAAGGAGCTTGGAGGGAAAAAAAAAAAACAAAAAACCCACTTAACTGTCATCCCATGCTCTGAAGAAGCAAGCTAAGTAAAATTATCATATAAGTTTTTTTGTCTTCCTTCAGTATTCAGAGTGAATTGACCAAAAAATCTGATTTATGTTTTGGTCTACTAACAGCTCTGTTCTGAAACAGTGGCAATGTCAATTGCCAGAGCTGGCATTCCTTCTGAGGCACATCCAGGTTTCCATCGCAACAGCAGATTCTTTACGAGATGCAGCTTAGGCTTCCTGGTCCATAAGAAGAGAGATATTTTGGAAATATCTCAGAATGTTTAAACCCATTGTTTGAACAGGATGTTGGTATTTAATGACTCAGTTGTGTGTGTGTCTGTGATTTGAGTCCTATAGATATAAACCTCCTGCAGACGGAAGCACAAATTGACTGGGCTTTAAGGTAATTATGTTCTAAACTGTCAGATATAAGGTACTGAAACATTTTGGGCGGATACGTTGTCAGCTGAGTTCCCTAACAGAATTTTCTCTCAAAAGCCAAAAATATCATCAAAAGAACTTAAAGGTCTGGATGTCCCCTGGTGACACAGACTTTCCTATTGTGACTTTAAATACTAACTGCACTGTCAGTCTGACTCATTTTGTACGCTGTGTCAGAAACCAAGGCTGTTGGGATGAAACAAAGCCCAAAAAGAATTATATAAAAGGCAGAGCAACACAAACAGTATGAGCAAAGGAAAACAATTTAATGGCCTCACAGAACAGAAAAAGAGAAAGAAAATTAAACAGAAGAAAGACAAGATGAGTTTGCTGATTACAGCTGGAGCATGATGGATACAGTTGATGTGGACCCCCTCAGCTAGCAGAAAATGTAGGAGGCAGCAGAGCCCTCCAGCAAGTATGCATATACTGCAGAAGGTAATAAAAGTTCATGTGTTAGAACTAAGAAAATTTTCAATATGTCTCTTACTGGAGGCACCAGATCAATCAACCAAACAAACAAACCAACCTATGTCATGAGTTCAAGGAAATATTATAGGTCAATGGAAACTCAATGTTACATTCATTATTAAGAGAAAATGCTACAGTCAGTTTTTTTCCTTTTATTCTCCAGTGTGGTTCAAACTGTGGACCTTTATCACTAGGCAGCTACACTTCAAAGCAGTACCAGTCTAAAACCACAAATCTGCAACAGCTACTTAAGTAAAGTTCAGGCAATGAAAATCACACAGCTTATGAATACATTGTAGAGGGTTTACTAGAACTGTATGTGTTTCCTCTTGTCCACAAGACTAACTTGCTTATGAGGACTAGGAAAATATTCATCCACCTGTTACCACTGATGAACAAAAAGTATTTCATATGGTACAACAGAGGCTGCTCCAGTGTTTGACATGGACCCATGCAGCCATCTTCACCCTAACATGTAATTTATCCACTACTTGTCTATAAATGTTAAAGTAAAAACAATATGGCAACAGTATCTACTTAATATATTGATTCTGTTATAGGTCTTTTATTTTTGTAGCCATTTATCATCTTTAAAATTTTAGCACCCAGTATGTGTGATTGAATCCTGTGATAACGATAGGACAGAAAAACAGAAAAAAGGCTTAAATTCTCAATGACTTCTATATCCCAGTAGTAGTTGCTCTGTTGCCCAGCTTCCCACAGTTCCCTTGAATCAATGGTTCACCTTTTCTTATCTGATATTATTTAACCTCTTGGTTGTACAGCAGCCATGTGAAAGCATACAGAGCACTGACTAACAGGAGTCTGTTTAAATAAGAACAGAAGACTTCTGCTTTTCACCCTTTTCTCTGCTAAAAATGACATCCACCTCACCAGTTCATCAGTACCTATTTCACCTTAATGTTAGTTGGTCTGCAACTGTCATAAATGTAGGTTCATATAGGAAATCTGTCTATGGGATACCTTGATATTCAGCCCCTGTGATACAGAAGAGTGTGACAGAGTGAAGAGTGGAAAAGCTTTACGCAGAGAACTAAAAGAACATGTGTGCTGGTTTTGGCTGGGATGAAGATACTATGAAGAAAATTAACTCTATCCCAGCCAAAACCAGCACAACATGCTTAAGTTTGAGTTTAAGTTTCTTTTGTAAAGAAAACAAAAGTACGGTTGAGTAAAGAGGAGATATTGATGAAAAGTAGAAAAATGTAGGTTAAAAAAACACAAATACAGCCACATTACAAAATCTCTTCCTTCTCCAGACAGTGACCCAGAAGTCATACCAACACCCTGAAGACTCTGCTTAATTCATGACCCAAGTAAGTATTTTCTAAAATAAGATAAATTGTTATTTACAGTCCTCTGAGATTCTCAATTACTATATACAGGTATATCTTCCTTAAATTAAATGGAATTATAGTAACTTGTAATAGACGGGTCTATGCAATACTTTACTCTTACAATCAAATTCATTAGGTAGACTGATTTTTGAAAAGCTTAGGATTACAATTAACTATTTCTACAAAACAAACTTAAAACTTGAAATAATTATTAGCAACTGAAACTGTTTTATGACTATCACTCATTCATCAGCTCAAGGAATTGCAGTATTTGTTGCTATTTAAAAACTTCATTCTTCATATTATGCAATTAGAAATTAAAGTGACCCAGTAGAGTAAAAATTGTCATCTACCTATGTAAGCCATGCTTTAACATCAGTATAATTACCAACAACAATAACATTATTAAAAGGTTTTCTTCAACTGAGCTTTTTTGCTGAAGAACCTCCTAACATTTTGAAGAAAAATATTTCTTTTCCTTTCTCTGTTCCTTTTCTCTGCTTGAATTGACATCCACTTCAGGATGTTCTTTCTTTGAGAGGTAGGCTGGAAAATACACATAAGCATTTCATGTTTTTTTCTTAATTGAAGAGAAGGTGGTCCAAGTAGAAGAAAACAAAGGAATAACTCTTGCATTTTAGGTATCTAGTCCAGAAACATGTCCCATCTTATTCATGTGGATCTCTACACAAAGGTAAAAAAAAAAAAAGGCAACAACAAAAAAACACGTAAAGGAAAGACTGTGTGGAAAATTGTGGGACTGTCCTGCTAAAGTATCTGTCTCCATTGTTGTTCATGTCTAGCAAAACAAAGACTCTTGTGAAGTTTATCACACAATTCCTATGATGCCAACAGTGCCCAAAGATCTACAGACTACCAGGATGCACAGGTAAAATTCTCTAAATATTTTCAAGGTCTTAGCTTTTGAGTATTTTTTCATAACTGGA